CCCTGAGGAGGAAGAGCAAGGGTGTTCGGCCCCCTCCAGGGGCTCAGGTCATATCCCTCTCCCCCTGATCGTTGGTAGAGGGAGCGATGGCCAAGGGCGGGAAGAGGGGTGGAAGAACATACCGCTGGGGTGTAGAGAGTGACGGAACGATCAACTGAGGAGCGGAGGGGCTGATGACGGGGTACTGGAGAAGGATAGTAGGGCTCCCTATGCAGTGACGAGGCGGAGAGGGGAAAAAATCGCCCCCCATCCTTGCTCCTGGCGACCCTCCTCCTGGATCCGCTTATGACCCCTCTCTCCACCCCGTTTTGAGAGTTGCTAATCATGAATGGTGCCTCGCCTCTACGGCACCCCCTCGATAAACTCTAAACATTGCTTGCATACTACGTCACTAGACAAAACCTGATTGGTTTAGTCTGTTGCCGTAGTCTATACAAATTCGGGACTGTTAGCTATTCTCTAAATGCAGACGCGCGATTGCGTATTTCAAAAACATTATGGATCAGGCTGGCTTTTTCCCTTTCCCATGCCCCATGTCTTTAAAATTTCCACGCATCACCAGCTTGGCCTCTCCTCCCTCTCCAAAACTTGCTTGAGAGGATTATCGTTTCTTGGCTTTTCTTCTTCTAGCGCCGTCTAATCATCAACTCCTTCTGGCATTCGGCTTCCTACACATTTTCCGTGTTCTTCAGATCCAACGGTATTTCGGCTGGTTCTTTTAAATTCTTCGGCGCAAATCGAAAATTCACTCTTTCCAACTTTTGGCGCCCTTGCGCTGCGATGAATCTCTGGATTTCAGAAGCATAGCAGTTGATATTTTCCGGCGCACTGCTTCTCCGCCTTTCCCTCACCACCGGAGTAAAAGATTACTAAATTACTCATAAGTATGCATTGCTGCCCAACCGCATCAACGACCTACTCTGCCGGGTGTTTGCCACAAAAAAGTCATTTAAAATTGTCTCCTTCGAAATTGGAAATAAAACCGAATTTCGCTCTTTGCTATCAGAACTCAAGCACTATTCATTAATTTCTTGGAAACGCCAGACATAACAGAATTAATATGCCTATCCCAATCATATGCACCCCCTCTTCAACATGCCTCATTTAGATTTCCTTCAATAATTTATTTTCAGTTAACGCCATGCATTTGGCATCATGCCTCGAAGGAGGTTAACGGAAGCGGAAAGGGAAGCTAGCAGAGAAAGAATCCGGCAGCTCGATGCTGAGCGAAAGCGCCGACGCCGACTACCGCAATCGGGTCTGGAGCAGGATCACGATGGGCACACTCAATCCGAGCACGGTCAAGTTATGCAGAAGACCAATCCTGAACCAGCAGTAGGACGGGACAGCGAGCAACCAAGCACAAGCGGCTACGGGAATCAGAGTTCCTCAGGTAAGAACAAGGAAAACTATGATTCCAACACTACATCTTCCACATGTACTGCTGTAGTTATCAATATTTAAATTGTAAATATTGCACGTGTCCAACCAACGGGCACTGCAAATCAAAGAAAATTTCGGGAAATTGAGTGGGCAAAAGATGCGACTGCAAAACGTGTTGCATGAGCCGAATCCTCCTACACAGAAGCGGAAGCACAGAGAATAGCGGTGTAAAACCTAACTAAATTATCCACAATTTTCACACCCCCATAACACTTTCAAATCCTATTTCACAATATAAATCCTACAAATTCTAAATCTTATTTTTTTAAACAGATCCTTGATTAACAGGTCAAGGATCTGCTCTCTTTTTAATTCACACATAAATTACTCTGTGATTTCCTTCTCATGAGCAGCTGTGCGCATTATCACATTTTCATACATATTTCCCAAGCAGCCGCTCTAATTTACCGCCTTAAAAACCCCTATTTCCCAATTTTGTTGACAGCTTTAGCTGTCAAATCAAAAATCAAACCTTCAACAAAAACCTTTTTCTCATCCTAACCCCCAATCTTCTGACCTTTCCTCCAATCGTTCACGCCTCTTTTAACCCACTATAAAAAGGCTCCTTAACACCATTCTAGGGTGTTGGTTTAACTTCGCAATCGGGCTGGATTCTGTTTCTTCATCACACATCATCGACTACTGTTTACTACACTATCATCTCATTATTGTTCATTCGTAATCTGATTTCTCTCTACTTGTTCAACTTCGTCACGTCAGTTAAGTTTGAAATCTCTGTACTCTTCAAAACTGTAGCTCAGATGAGCGTTGGGACTGTCAATCGTAGAATTGTAGCATCACTGATGCAGTTACTGTTTCCATAAACTTCTTTCGTAAAGACAGTGCCCACAAGAAGAGATTAGTTCATATTATCAAAGTTATACCGCTGCTACTCAACTACGATCTAATAACCTCCTCTGGGTATATACAACAATTATAATAGGGCTCATCATAGTTTTACTTCGTTCACACACACGCTTCCAATGCATAAATTCACACATCATCATCACGTACCATCTTCAATATTAAAATATATTATTAAAATTTTACTAGCGGAACGCATGCGTTTGCAGCGAGGCGCGGAAGGAAACAGGCAAAGAGAAAGAACTGCAAATGCAGCGGCTATGAGGATACGCAGAAGCAATGAGGAGTACAAGGAGAGGGAGAGGAGAACAAATGCGGACGCGATGCAATTACGACGTGAAGTAAATCCGGATTATAGAGAGAGAGAACGAGACGCGAACAGTGAAGCAGTGCAGCTACGCCGTGAAACAGACCCTGATTACCGAGAGAGGGAAAGAGAAATGAACAGTGAGGCGATACGAATACGCCGCGAAATAAACCCGGATTATCGAGAGAGAGAGAGAGAAAGAGAAGCAAACAGTGCAGCGATGCAGCTACGCCGCGGCACAGACTATGATTATCGAGAGAGGGAAAGGGAACTTAACAGCGAAGCGATGCAAGTGCGCCAACAAACCGACATGAACTATCGAGAGAGAGAGAGAGAGAGAGAGAGAGGGATCAACACTGCAGCAATACGGTTTCGTCGAGATGCCAGTCCACTTTATCGGGAGCGAGAACGAGGAACAAACAGTACAGCGATGCGAGTGTGGCGGCAGGCTGATGTGGAATACAGAACACAGGAACGAAGAGCAAATTCGGAGGCAATGAGGAATCGCAGGCTCACCGATTCCGCATATAGGGGAAGGGAAAGAGAAACAAATAATGCGGCAATGCGAAACCGGAGGTCCAGTCAAGAGGCAGTGAGGGAACGAGAACAAAATGCTCTGAGGATGCAACGCCCAAGAGAGGTAACGGAACTGCGAGTTCAGGAACGGACGAGAAGGCAGGAATCCCGCCAGCAACGCTCAGTTTATAGTAGTGCTGTGTTCAATTATGAAAATGCTATTAAGAAAGGCCCTACTCAGGTATGTAATTGTTGTGGTCGATTGGTTTTTAAACAATCCATAACTAAACTAATCAAAACAGATTTGCTAGGAGCAGGCAACGGGACTCCATTCCGGACCACCCTCCTTAACACTGCATTTTATTTGCAGCAAAATGATGAAGGGCTTTTCTGCACAAATTGCGCAGAAAACATCAAGCACTGGAACTGTCTTTCAAACGGACTGGATTTCCCTCCCGTACCTCAGATGCTTAGTGACTTAACAAGGTTAGAAGAGAGGTTGGGAGCGGCCCGGCATACCATTTAGACCATCTGGCCTTCATTCGGCCCTACTGGACAGTTCCGATGCAAAGGTGGAATCGTTAATGTACCTGTTTCCGTAGATACCACTGTATCCATGCTTCCCCGTCCTACAATCGACACACACACTGTACACGTTCGAATTGCACGACGAAAGAAGTACAGAGGAAACTACATTTCGGGCTTAAGAAATGTGCGAGACTCCAAGAGCATAACAAAAGACGACGGGAGTGCTTTTCATGCAGCGGTTTTTAAAGTACACAACATTCTGATTGCCTCCGTGTATGCTAGCCCCGGAGTCACGGATGAGAGCACCCAAATGCTGCTGACACAAATCTCTTCCGCAAAAGGACGAAAGCTTATACTGGGGGACTTCAATCGCGATACAAGCGCCGGTCGCAACCAAATTTTCCAGGACATGGTACAACAACTAGGTCTATCAATCAGAAACGCGAGTCAACCGACAACAGCCGCAAATACAACTTTGGATCTCGTCTTAAGCAACTTTGACGTAAGTTGCGGGACATACATTTCACTGACAAGTTTCCATGAACCGATTTGGGTGCGATACGAAACCACCGAGCAACTCAAATTTCCCTGAACAGCACTCCATACAGAGAAAAATAAAACGGTCTATGACACCACGACATCAAAAAGCACCGTCTTAGAAAGCTGTAGAATGTCACTTCTCGCCTTTCACTGTTCCTTAAATTTTCAGCAGGGAGTTATCACGTAGCACTCATATTAGCACTGCTTCTACAGAGAAGCAAGGGAAAGAATTACACGTTCCCGCGGAACACACCGAATGCTGAAGACAACAACAGAGAACCTCTCAGAACCACTGCTACTGACTGTACCACAGACAGTGCACAAATTTTTCATCAACAGCTTCAGTGCAAACCACTACTGCATAGACAAATGTTAGACTCAGGATTCAAGTTTGCGAAAAATTAGAATTACAACCTATGCGCCACGTTACAAATTTGTCGTATCCAGCTGTCTTCTCGATAAACCGGTTCATATTCCAACGTGGTTGCAGCCTTTCACTCTCTTTTTGTACGGATTAGGCTGGTTTCTCGAAGCAGTTGCGTCGCTTCACTGTTCAGTTCCCTTTCTCTCTCTCTCTCTCTCTCTCTCTTTCGATGAACTAGACCGGCTTCTCGAGCAAAATGCACCGCTTCACTGCCCGCTTCTCTTTCTCTCTTTGTCGATGAACTTGGCCGCTTTCTCGAAGCTGCTCTGTCGCTTCACTGTTCGCTTCTCCGTCTCTCTCTCTCTCTCCTTTTATGACTACGCCAGTTTCTCGAAGCCGATGCGTTGCTTCACTGCTCAGTTCCGTTTCTCTCTCTCTCTCTTTCAATGAAATAAGCCGGTTTCTCGAAGCAGCTGCGTCGCATCACTGTTCGCTTCTCTTTCACCTTCGATGAACTAGGCCGGTTTCTCGAAGCAACTGCAGCGCTTTACTGTTCATCTCTCTTTCAATGGATAAAGCTAGTTTCTTCAGAAAAATGCATCGCTTCGCTGTTTACTTCCTTTTTTTCTTTCTCTCTCGCGATGAACGATGCATCATCACAGCGACATCTGTTACTGCAGAAATGGAAGTTCAGTGCGAGGAAGTGTATTACTGCTTCAATTGCACGTTACCCACACATACTCTGCTGGAGAATGTGCAAGCACGGAGGAGCATTTCTAGAAATAATTGCACTGGTAGCTGGGAATTCATCAAACTATTCGAACAATTTAACAGATTGCTGAGAAAATGATGGCATACCAAAAAAACAAATCTTTTAATTTCATTCCCGTTGCCAGTGCTCCAGGCAATTACAGTGGTTTCTTTTTGCATGATCAACAAATCAAGTACCAATCGACAATAGCAACATCAGAGTCATTTGTCCCTCACTCTAGTTTTTTAATGCATTGTAAAACGCCGCATCGGCTTCACAGAAGTTTCTCTGCTGCTGCGGTCAATTGCAAATAAACTGTACATGTTAAGTTATGCATGTCCATTATTTAATGATTTGAATTAATGCTGATATTCCTCCACAGCTCCTTTTGGTACTCTCCATTTCGGACGTAAACGGTGAATAATAACATTTGTAATATATTATCTACGTTGTGCACGAATATCGTTGTCTATTCTATCCTGCTTGTTCCCTCCTTTTATTTCTCCGCTCAGTGCGTAAATATTTTTGTACTTAACACTTCCTTCACCTAATAAAGTAAAAGCATTGAAAATGATTGTACAACACAAACATTGCTGTACACGAACTGAGGCTGCACAAAACCAGTTG